TCCGGATTGAAAAATTAAAAATCCGTAGTTCACGGATTGGTTCCGGATTGAATCCCACGGTTCCGGATTGGAACCGATCCAGACCGTATACAAATAGTCTATATTTTTATTATACACCCTCCTGCATACTATCTTCTCTTATTTCCTATAAAACTTAAATCCAAACCTAAACTTGCATAGTATCTTCTTTTATTACTTTTGTTTGCTAGTTTTTAGTGTTAATTTGTAATGATCTAAATACTTATGGTGGAACTAGTTTCTTTATGGTTGTTTAAATTCTAGAATAGTTTGTCGCTATTATGAAAAGACATGTTGCTATTGTGAAACTAATATGGTGCTATATTTATATTTTTATGAAAATAAAGTGTTATATATATATTTTTGTTATTTAATTATATAAATCCGTGGTCCTAAACCGATCCAATCCGTATTTAAATGGATTGGTTCGGATTGGTTCCACGATTTAAACGGATTGGATTGGTTCCAATTTTTCAGGGTCCGTAGATAACGGATTGGTCCTGGTTTTACTCCAATCCGGTCCAATCCAGACCATGCTCACCCTTACAATTTTGGTTCTCTCATTACTGTCAAACTTGATTCCACCAATTTTTTGATTTGGAGAAATCAACTCCATAACATTCTTCGAGCTACAGGTCTTTTTGGATATGTGACAGGTGCAATACCTTGTCCTTCATCTGAAGTTACTGATGCATCTGGAAAATCTGTTTCCAATCCTGCATATCTTCAATGGGAAGCAATTGATGCAAATCTGCTCACATGTTTAACTGCAATTTTATCTTCATCAGTATATTCATTTGTTCTTCATCTCCATAGTAGTTCACAAGTTTGGCAAACACTAGAGAAGAAATTCACTTATGTCTCTCGATCTCATATTCATCAATTGAAGAACAAGCTTCATACAATTCGAAAGCAATCTTCTTCAATTGACTGCTATCTTTCCCAGATCAAAGCAGTTTCAGATCAGTTAGCTCTGTCTGGTACAAAGGTTGAGGATGAAGATCTTATTCTTCTTATCTTAAATGGCTCACCAGACGAATATGATGCATTCAAAACATCAATTTGTACTAGATCTAATGCTATCTCTATGGAAGAGTTGTGTTCCTTACTTGGCTCAGAAGAAATTCACATCGAGAGCAAGATCAAGCATTCTTCCAAATCTGATTTGCATATTGCTTATTCAGCACCCAAAGGTTCCACTTCTAGTTTTAGTTTTGATTCTGGTTCTACTTCTGGTTCTGGTTTTGAAGCACAACACTCTATTCTTGGACCATATCCTCGTCCTACTTTCAGTGGCAGATCTCAGTACAGAGGAGGTAGAAGTGGTCGATATTTTCGTGGCAACAGATCTCAAAATCGATTTTCTAACAATCGATCAGGATCATCAGCCTACTCTGGTTCTGCTTCCTCTAACTGTCAGATCTGTGGCAAATCAGGTCATCTTGCATTCGACTGTTGGTATCGACTTGATCTACATTATCAACCTTCAGCAAATGCTTCTCCCAAAGCCTAAGCTGCTGCTGTTACTTCTTCCTCTGCAGATTCTCCTGTCCCTCCTTGGTACATTGATTCATAGAGTGCACTGATTGTTATGTGTCTAAAAGTCATAGACTTCCTTTCAAATTGTCTTCTTCTTCTAGTGATAGTCCTTTTTCTTTTGTACATGCTGATGTATGGGGGCCTTTTACAGTTGATAATGCTCCTTTTCGATTTTATGTTTTGTTTGTTGATGATTGTAGTAGATTCACTTGGATCTATCCCTTACATTTTAATAGTGAAGTCTATGAAAAATTGCTTGAGTTTAAAGCCTATACTGAAAATCAATTTCACACTTCTCTTAAAATTTTAAGAACTGATGGAGGAACTGAATTTGTAAATAAAAAGGTTGCTTCTCTTTTCTCTTCTCATGGTATTATTCATCAAACCAGTTGTCCTTATACACAAGCACAAAATGGTGTTGCTGAGAGGAAGCATCGCCAATTTTTGAAATATTGGTTTGATGCGGTTGCTACAACAGTTTTCCTCATCAATAGAATGCCTAGTTCTGTTCTGTCTAATAAATCTCCATTTCAGATTTTGTTTAAAACACTTCCAGATTTTTCTTTCTTCAAGGTCTTTGGTTGCCAGTGTTTTCCTTGGTTAAAACCTTATACCACTCACAAGCTCCAACCGAAGTCCTTATCTTGTGTCTTTTTAAGTTATCATCCTACAATCAAGGGCTATAGGTGTTTAGATCCTATTAGTGGCAAGATGTTTATTTCTAGGCATGTCATCTTCAATGAATCCTGTTTTCCTTTTGCTTCCCCTACTCTTTCCTCTTCATCTTCTCCTATCTCCTTGCCTCATATTCATCATTTTTTGCCTTCTTCTCATTCTTCTGAAATTCCCACTGTTTCTTCTTCATCCACATCTTCTTCATCTTTTTGCTCTAGTTCTCCAGCTTCATCATCTTCTCTGAATGTTTCTCCTCCATCTTATGCTATTCCTATTAATTCTATTTCCATTGATATTCCTCCACCTTCTGGTTTGCCTTCTAATCTGGTTTCTCCCTTGTCTTCCTCTAATGTTCATCCCATGCTTACTCGATCTAAAACCAAACCTCATCTGTGTCTTACAGCCACACCCTCTTCTTATCTTCATACCAAACCTCCTATCGTTCAAGTTGCCTTAGCTTCTCCTATGTGGCTTACTGCTATGCAGGAAGAATTTCAAGCTTTACAGCAGCAGGGCACTTGAGATCTTGTGTCACTTCCTCCTCATAAATCAGCAATTGGTTGTAAGTGGGTGTATAGAATCAAGCGAAATTCTGATGGTTCTGTGGCAAGATATAAAGCTAGATTGGTGGCAAAGGGATATCTTCAATAAGAGGGTGTTAATTTCCATGAAACTTTTAGCCCTGTGGCTAAGCAGCCTACAATTCGTATTTTTCTTTGCTTGGCTCTCCATTTTACTTGGCCTATTCATCAATTAGACATATCTAATGCCTTTCTTCATGGTACCTTAGATGAGGAAGTGTGTATGTTACAACCTCTAGGTTTTATTCAGTCTTCTAATCAAGTGTGCAAACTTAAGAAAGCCTTGTATGGACTTAAACAAGCTCCTCGAGCTTGGTATTCTACTTTCTCTAAATTCCTCCTTTCTCAAGGCTTTGCTAACAGTCATTCAGATTCCTCTCTTTTTGTTCAATACACTTCCACCAGTCTTCTTCTTCTTGTTGTGTATGTTGATGACATTTTAGTCACTGGTAGTGATCCTGCTCTTCTTGCACAATTTATTCAGCATATGCATCATGTGTTCTCCATGAAGGAATTGGGACTGTGTCCTATTTCTTAGGCATCTCAGTCCAAGTCGTATCTCATGGTTACTTCTTATCTCAAACTAAATATGCCACTGAGCTGCTTCACAAAGCTGGTTTGACTGATTGTAAACCCTGCTCCACTGCTTTAGCTGTCAAGGCTTCTTATTCTTCTTCTTCTTCTTCTTCAGATGAGCTTCCTTTTTCTAATCCTTCTCTGTATAGGAGTATTGTTGGTGGTCTACAGTACCTTACTATTACCAAACCTGATTTAGCCTTAGCTGTTAACCAAGCATGTCAGCATATGCATCCGCCCACAAATGCTGATTTTCACACTGTCAAACGCTTGCTGAGATATGTGAAGGGTACTCTACACCATGGTCTGCACTTTACTATTGGTCCCTTAACTCTTCATGCTTTTTCTGATTCAAACTGGGCTGGAGACAGTATTGATCGCAAGTCCACTTCAGGTTACTGTGTCTATTTGGGTTCTAATCTGATTTCTTGGAGTGCTAAGAAACAGCCCATTATTTCTAGATCATCTACTGAGGCTAAGTACAGAGCATTAGCTAATGCCACTGCTGAATTAACTTGGCTGCAGCAGTTGCTGAAAGATATGCATATTATCTCATCTTCTGTTCCTGAGCTCTGGTGTGACAACATTTCTGCAATGGCATTGGCTTCTAATCCAGTTTTCCATTCTCGCTCTAAACATATAGAAATTGACTGTCATTTTATTCGGGATAAAGTTGTTGCCAAATTGATTGCTTTGAAATATGTTCCTACCACAGATCAGGTGGTTGACATCTTCACCAAACCTCTTTCTACCTCTCGTTTTCTTTATTTGAAAGACAAGCTTCTTGTGCAGCCTTGCCCCATCAGCTTGCAGGGGAGTGCTAAGATACATACCCAGCAGTTGCAGCAATCATAGCTAGAGGCAGAGCAGCTGTAGCATACCCAGTAGTTGCAGTAATCACAACTAGAGGCAGAGCCAAAGCTACAGTCTCAGCTTAAGCAGAAGTCAGCATTTAGTTCTTGATCATCACAGCTCTGTTCTTCAGATAATATCTGTAACAGTTGTAATGTTTGTTAGACAGTTAGAGTTTTGTTAGCTGAGTGAGTTAGATAGTTAGTTAGTTACTGAGTTAGTTAGATATATTTTTTTTTTCTATATAATATCTTGTATAATGTATATGTAGATTCATTGAATAAAAATAGAAAAGTCTTTTCTTCTTCACACAAATCAATAAAAAATTTATAAATATTAATAATTAAAATCTTAAACTTTTTCATTAATTTGTAATTATTTTTTCAATCTACCACTGATCTATATTTTCCCCACGTGACCAAAAAAAAAAAAAATTAGTGACAAAATTTTAAAATGTCGCTAATCACTGCACTAGGGACAAAATAATGAAAAAGAATTCTGTTTGAAATAAATTTTTTTATACAAGAGTCCATTGCCATCTCATAGTTATTCAATACAGGACACAAAAGAAAGATCAACAGTGTCATCATAATATAAGAGAGCACACTCTTTAACAAATTTCATTGTTATTAAATTATAGGAAAACAATTGTAAGAAAATCATCCATAACTAACCCACTTTTTTCAGTTATATTAAATCATATTTATTTAAAGTTTAAAAAACAATAGATTCATAGAGTTCTCTTCTCTATTTATTTCTCTAGTTGTTGGGCCACCAAAATTGAGCTTGAAGATAGTCCACCACCTTCTTGTCCACTTGGAATGCCTTGGCAAGAACATCATCAAAAATCTTGGGATTCGACCCAAACACTGCATTAGCAACAGTAATGACACCAGGGTTTTGGCTGCTCAAGCCAGCAATAGCCACTGCATTAGTTTTTCCCTCATTAAACTGGAAGTGAATGAGACCTTCTGGAAACACAAAAACATCTCCTGGGTACAACACTTTAGTGAAGAGACGATTTTCTGGATTGGAGGTTACGAAGCCGACATAGAGGGTACCCTCCAAGACCACGATAACCTCAGTCGCGCGAGGGTGCGTGTGGGGTGGGTTGAGGCCATGAGGTGCAAAGTCAATGCGAGCTAAAGAGATACCGAGAGTATTGAGGCCTGGTATTTGCATAACGTTTACAGGAGTGACTGTTGACCCAACTGGGTTCGATATTTTTTGTGGAGTAAGGAGACCAGAAAAGAAGAAGTCCTTGGCTTTGGCGAGCTTTGGGTCCTTGCAAACCTTGCCATTCACGAACACTGCATGCAAAGGAAATTATGTTGTAATTAAGGATTGGATGAAATGATACAATATGAACTAGACACAACTTTAAATGGATTCTATGCAAATAACTTTTTTTTAAGTTTAATTTGTAATTAACTTTTTTTTGGTGAAGTATGATCTTTTATTCTGAAAGTACTCCTAATTCTTTGAATACTTATGGCATCAGTAGTAAAGATCACTTTATTGCACATTTTATACTTTGGGGATGGGATTGAAATAATTAAGATTGTTAACAATTAAAATGACACAACATTTTTCCTTTCACCACCAAAAGTAGAAATTACCATAGAATAAATGACTTCAAAATGAAAAGGCCATATGGACTATACTTCAATGAATAAGCTTCAGTTTTAATTATATCAAAATGAAATTGTATTAAATAAAGTTTTGTCATTAAAATCAAATATTTCAAAGTTTGAGTGTGGAAAGCACAAATTTGAGAGATAGAGATGAGCATATAGTATACCAGCAGATTTTGTGTCATTGACAGCAACACAAAAATCCTGTAGAGGACTAGGGTCAGAAGCATAAACAAGTGTGGAGGCCAAGGCCATGATGGCTATGGTTACAAGGAAAATGTGAGTTCCCATCTTTATCATATCAACAAGCAATAAGAACTTGTTATTTGAAGCAAAATTGGAATTTCTATGCCTAATTGCAGTTGCTTGAATGAGGGTGATGGATCTAGCATGGCAAAGCACGTCTATTTATAGATATAGGTAGATAGATTAGAGTAGTTGAATTTGTCATTATATATTTTACAATACCAATCAAATAAGGCTTACCAAGTCTTAAATGGGGTAAGCTTTTTCCTCATTCGTCTTTCAAGGATGAATGGTTCTTCAACAACTACACATATTTCTAATTTCTTCTTCTAACTGTTTCTATTGACCATTTTTTGTGACCAAAAACTATCAAGATTTTGTCAACTGAACAGTATTTCAAGTGCCTTATACCAAGGATTTGGGTACGACTCATAGACTTGCATTGATAATTACATGTTTTTGCATTTTCTAGTCTTTTCTTTTGTTCTTTTTCTTTTCATTGTTATTATTTTTTTAATTTTTTTGGGAAGCAAATTTTTTGTGTTTTGGAATTAGAGGATAGAAAGATTTGGGAATAGAGAATTCCTTGACATACAACTACAATATATCATCTACAAAAATTTTGCCATCTCTCTATTGAATAAAGAAGCTCTACAACATAAAAAGGTAGAGCATACATCGCTGGAATATGTACACTAGCAATGTTCTCAAGGATGAACTTATGCTTGGGTTTGCAAGTTGGGTCATCCTTATTCTTATGATTTCACACACACACAAAAAAAAAAAAAAAAAAAAAGAAAAAAGAAAGAAAAAAAATTTGTTAATTGTTAATTATTTTTAAATTATATAGAGTTGTACATTCTAGGTTTATAAAAAATAATAATAATAAAGTGATTGTCCCTGTATATTTATGTATACTGAAACATTAACAAAATTAAAATGCTGTTAATTATAATTTGATTTTTATTTGAAGGACCTTGAATACACTGTCACATTGAACACAATAGTGTAATAGATGACATGTGCTGATGTACATGCTGAATCATGAGATATTTACTGTTAAAAATAAAATTAAATAAAAAATATTCAATAAAGCAAGATGCAGGGGGCATGGGCAATAATCTTGAAGAAAGGAAAACAAGATTAGTTCAGCATAATTTTGACAAGTTCAAAATTAGAGATATTTAAATATTATTCCATTCTACTACCTTCCTGTCTTTGACTATACACTATACAGACATTTAAATATTATTCCATTCTACCTTCCTGTCTATGTCTATACATTGTTGGATGTGATATTTTGTTTGTTATGGCTAAAATAGCCTATTTTGTTTTTTGTGGCTAAAATAGTCAAAAAAGCCTACAAACCCACTTGCCAAACACAGTATTAGTAGTTCAACCCAAGCAATCTACAGTTAAAAATAAAATTAAATAAAAAATATTCAATAAAGCAAGATGCAGGGGGCATGGGCAATAATCTTGAAGAAAGAAAAACAAGATTAGTTCAGCATAATTTTGACAAGTTCAAAATTAAAGATATTTAAATATTATTCCATTCTACTACCTTCCTGTCTTTGACTATACACTATACAGACATTTAAATATTATTCCATTCTACCTTCCTGTCTATGTCTATACATTATACATTATACTTTATACATCAATTTATTATAATATTTCTTGAAGAAAGTCAAATATTAAAGTTTTACAATAATTGGGTATTTTGTGGGAGATTAGGTCCATCAAAACAAAAATGATCACTACAACAAAAAACACCTTTGGCAACTAAATTTTTAATCTCCAAAAGTCCTTTTTTAGTCGCCAAATGTCGAATTTTCACTTTTCCCGACAAAAACTTTTAGTCGCCGGTTTTGTCGCGAATACATGGTCGCAAATACCTTTGGGACTAAAAAACTGTTAGTCGGCAATATACAGGTCTTCAGCGACGAAAGAATTTGTCGCCAAATGCAATTCCATTTTTAGAAATTATACATTTCGCGACTAAACTTTTAGTCGCCAATACTGATTTTTTTTTATTGTTTAAACATTTGCCGACTAAACTTTTTGTCGCCAAAAAGTATACCTTTCGGCGACTACAGACTTTAGTCGCCAAAACCATTTTTCAGGAAAAAAAAAAAAAAACAAATTTGCCTCTGCTGGTCCCAAGTGTCGAACCCGCAATGTCCCAACATTCTCAACCTTTATTTGCCGCAGTTTATTGGATGGTAAAAGTAGTAATCAGAAAATAAATGTCAATGATCTCCTAACTTTCAAATAATCAGTTTATTTAAGTTATTATTACCTAATAAACTAAAAGAACAAATTATACTAAATAGTCTAACACATACTCTCAAAATAAAATACAAAAAAGTTATAAACAACTCATTTAAGTTGCACCAAATAATCACTGCAACATATAATAGTTTTAGGGATCAAACTTTTTTGTCCCCAAATATGAAAATTTTGTTGCAAAAAATATTTGGAGACCAATTTGTGTTGTCACAAGGGTCACTAAAAGTCAAAAAAATTTACGATATAATTTTAAAAATGTTGCTAATAGATTCATTTTTAGGAACAAAATAATTTGGTACAAATTTATATTTTTTGAGACAAATTTTGGTCCAAATAAATAGTAATTTTGTCTCTAAAAATATATATAACAATTATACTTTTGATAACTAGAATATTTTATTCCTAAAAATTGATTTTGTCTCTAAATTTTTGTATCTAAAATCTTAACAATATATATTTTATAACATAACATTGATATAAAAAAATAAATATATTTTTATTTGTATATGTTTTAATGTTATTTTTCATGTACAAATTAATTTTGTAGGCCACTACTGAGAAGGGTTCGAATTCTTCGCTACATTTCCAAAAGAATCTATATCTATCTATCTGTCTATCTATCAATCTGTCTATATATTATATAAGGAAAAGAAAGTTTCTAACCCACAAACTTTGTGGGAGCTCTAATATCTCAATCTTAATTTTTTAATTTTTTTATTTAAAAAAAAAACTCAACATTTATTGACTTCTCCTAACCCACAAGCCTTTTTGACTTCTCACATACATACTGCTACACCCTTTTTAATTTCTTCCATACACTATGATTAATGATGGGATTGTTAAATTATTTTTATAAAACATCTTAAAAAAATCATTTGTATATTAAAAATATCTAAAACAAATATAAATTCTTATTAAATCTATCTATCTATCTATCTATTAATCTATTATATAAGTAAAAGAGATTTTCTAACCACAAGTCTTGTGGGAGTTTCAATATCTCAAACTAAAATTTCTAATTTTTTTATTTTAAATAATTAAAAAAATCCTCCATAAACCAAAAAAAAATAATTTTAAAAACTAATATCTCTTGATTTATGACTTTCAAATGGAAAGTATATCAAATATTTAAAATACAAAATAGAAAGTATACTAATCCATTTCAAAATTCAAATTTGAGGGGCGCTAAATATAGAAAGCATTCCATTAATTTAAATTTAAAATTATAATGATTTATCCCATAATATATAAGTTTTAAATAATAATCTATTCCATGATTTATCTATATATCTATGTTTTTTTTTTTTATCGGCAAAACAAATATTTATTGATGGAAACATACGAAGTATGAATGATCTACATCAATAAAAAAGGAGCTTGGAGCTAGCAAAAGCTCCAAGCTCTAGTTGATGAGAGACCAACAACAAACAAAGGAAGAAAAACCAGAAAAGCAAAGGCTTCCACATGAGCCAACAGCAGCAGAGCAAAAATGGCTGCCACATGATCCTCTAGCAGAACAAAATCTGCAGAACAACCACCTCCAGCAATAGAACAACCAGCAGACTACCAACAGATAATAGAGAAAAACCATGAACTGCACTGCAGGCCTTGAAGTCATTCTACACAACCATGAAACTCCCAACAACAAAGTAAACAGAGCAAAGGCAGAGAGAAACCAGCACAAACCAGGTATTCAACCAAAAATATTGCTGAAGCATACTAACATGTATTCAACCAAACACACCTAGTTCTTGCACTTCTGCAACTGATGGTATATGCATTACCCTTAACCTCCATGACTTTTGAATCTGCACATTATCAATCAAGAACAGGCATTCACCAAACCAGGAAATCACCAAAAATATTGCTGAAGCATACTAACAGATATTAAACCAAACACAGGTTTTATGATTGAACCATGCATTTTGTACCCTGAAAGGTTTGGGCCCCCAGTCCCGGCCATCCTCTTTCACTAGGAGAGGACTATGATCAAAGAGCAACCTAGGCAGATCCCACAACTTCAAGTTAAATACCTCAAGCCACTTTGGATCTACTAATACTTTATCAATTTGACTCCACTTTTCACATTCTCTTGAGTTACACCATGTAAACTTTCTACCACACAAAGGCAGGTCAAACACTTCACAACTTTCAATGAACTCATTAAACTCCCCCATCCCTTTGTCTCTTCTAGAGCACCCTTTCCTTTCACCAATGTTCCTTATTTCATTAAAATTCCCACCCAAGCACCAAGGTTTAGGAAAATCCTTCTTTAATTTGACTAAGCTATTCCAGAGCTTGCTTCATAACCCCACTTCATTAGGTGCATAAACATTTACAATGGCACACTCAAAAGAATTTAAAAAGGTACCTAAGAGCAATATGAACCTCCTATTGCTACAATACTCTTCTATCTGAAACAACCCTAGGTCCCACACACAAAGTAATCCCCCAGCCGCACCCTCAAAGTCCACAACCATAAATTCCATGTTATCCCTAGCCCACAATGATCTTACTTCAGCCTCAAAGATCTCAGATTTTTTGGTTTCCTGGAACAGCACCATATCTACCTTTTTTTCCTTCAAGAGCTTCCTAATCTTTCCTTTCTTTTCCTTCTTGCCTAACCCTCTTACATTCCATGTTAATAAGTGCATAACAAAATGATGATACTCCTTTGCTTCTCTCCAATTAGTAGGTGTTTCATGCCCCACCTCTTTCCCCCCTTCCAATTCTTTCCTTATCCTTAAGCTCAA